ATGTATGATTTTCTGTTGCGTCAATGACGCGCCAGGGAATTAGCATAACTATTTGCGTCACAGAAGATCTTGGCGCGTCTGCCTTGAACGTCATATGGGTTTAGAGGACACACCATATAGAATCCGTAAAAAACGACCGGGAGGCTCATCTATTGGTCTACATCTAAATATGTCATTCATTCATAACGTCGGTCAAGGTATGCCGCCTGGAGTAACAATAATTGTAAATTCATAGTAAGAACATTAGATAATAGATGGTCCTGATGGTCCATTGTTTCTACGGAAACTGAAATAAACTGCTTTGTGGCAAATCATTTGTATATGTCTCTAATTATAAAGAAAAACAGAATGACAACCGTCCCATAACGCGATAATTCGTTCTATGTTTAACACTGGTCATACGAGAATTTTACATTAATTATCAAGAATATTAGATGAAACGCGACTGATGTCAATGACTGGAATGCACGTACACACAATACGTACTATATCACTGCATGGCCAACTGATTATTTCTTGATCTTCTCGAAGTATCTCTTACTGATTACATCGCCTAACTTCATAGTGATAACCAACTCTTCGTTCATCACTTCCCTGGTCGTCACTAAATTCTCTTCAGGTCTGTCTACAGCCATTAAAATCAATTTATCACCATCCATCGAAGCCACCATCATCTTTTCGCCCGTACCCCCAAAACCTTCATCTTTGTAGGGTTCACCGATTTTAAACTTTGTCACTTTTGTCATCATCGGAGAAATCATCGACAAGGTCCAGCAACCCTCATCTTCGCTGATTCCATGGGTCGGTGACAGCATCGTTATCATCTTCCTCGGCACCCACCCAACGCCCTGGGCTGCTAATATTTCATCAAATTTCTCACTTCGATCGAGTTTCCATTCACCAACTAGCTTCGACATCGTGAACAAGGAGAACCGACCTCAGGAGCACGTCTTATTTTCTTGATCTGATTCACTACAGTCGATAACTGACCTATGTGTATCTTCAAGGGGCGTGTCTCTGATTCCCAATACGGCCACGGTGGATCGCTCACTGCAGATAACTGACACGTGCGTATCACGTCTTTAAAAAGGCGTGTCTGTTATCAATCGGAATATAGGTACATACAAAAGGAATACAAAAGATATCAAATAATATCGCGATAAATGGGTGCATATAAGGTAGCAAAGGTAAATTGTCATTCAGGTAAAAGTACTGCGAACCACACTCGGCAGTCACTTGACCGTGACATGTTGAAATACGGATCCTACAACGCCAATGGACTTTAGTACGAGATAATAATCAGGAATATTCAATGACGTTGCACATATATTGTCTGCATATATATTCTAATATTGTGACAAATTTATGACTGCCAATGAGTTAGTACTATAGCATTAATATTATTCACACAACAGGAAAAGCATATGGTGGCATATTACCTTTATTATAAGGTCGGCAGTCAAGATTCAAAGTTTCATTGTCTGCAAGTACAGGTGATTGCCATGGTGACT